CATTGATGATTTACTTGGAAGAAGTATTTAATGTGTCAGGAATTCCTAATGAAAGCCAAAAATAAAACGTCGTTAAATTCGGCTGGAACCTAATTTTTTACCCTCCCTACGTGAAAATTTCGTTAAAAAATTAATAATGCACAAAATTGGCCGTACCTTTACTATATGCTATATAAATTTTCCGGGCTGCCAAATTCAGACTACCACAATAAGAAAATGCGGGTGGAAGCTTCAAAATATTGAAAATGAGGCGGCATCCCTATTTGGAGGTATGTTAGCCTTTATGAATCATGTAAGCCTTAGAGGTTGGAAAATGCAGCTAAAGCCTTCAAAATTTCGAAAATGGATAGGGACCCTCATAAAGGAGCTATACAAACACATAAGCCCATGAAAACCCGAAAGTTGAAATTAAAACTAATTTGTTTGAAAAAAAGTACCAAGACCCCCAAAAATAACGAACAATAGGGGTAACATTATATGTGGGCTACGCAGAAACTAGGCCCAATAAGGATAGTTTTTGGTAGAGATGTTTTCAACTCAACGACAATCCAAAATAAAATAACGGTCAATTGGACGAAACGCGTGTTTAAACACCCCTGAAATACACCATAAAAGTATTTTTAAATTCATACCCTCTGCCACATTAACTTACGGATATATTTCGTAAGACATCCTTGATAAATGTTTTCATAAACGACACTGTTTTGTAACGATTAACAGCCTTCAGGCGACAACTACAATTATGAAAATATTTCGGACTGGGATCACATTCCAAATTTGTAAATTTTAAATGGACTTCACCGCGATAACTCTAGAAATAAATAAAAATAATTTATTTTATTTAAAATTAAAAAAATTAAAACAATTGAATATAATAACTACACACGTGTATATGTTTTGTCGTGTCGAGTTATTAGAATGTAATTATTTTCGTATTTATTTGCCCTACACAGCAATAATGGGAGCGGATTTTCTCAATAACTTCATAACTACAAATTGGTTAATAATAGTACCTAACCACATACAAATCAATCAATTTCATAAAGATTTTGATTAAAATAACTTACAATTTACAATGTTATTACATTGTGTGAAACGAACCGAATACTATATTCGTTGTAGACCAATTTCCGTTCAGCTTAATTGTTTCTACGCATACATTATTTCAAACATTAATAATAAAACAATTATGAAACTGATGTGAAATGTTTTTTTTTTATTCCCCCTAAAAATTTAAACCGATTTTTATCAAACTTTCAGCACGTTATTCTTCAAATCCGGAGGCTAGGCAAAATTTCATGACACAACCTTTTGGTCATATCTCGACTAGCTGTGTCGATATAGGCATGTATATCCCTCCATCCTTCTGTCTATCCATTATAAACTGTAAACACGATACAGGCCACAGTTATGGACCAATCGCCACGAAAATTTTCATGTAGAATGGGTTCTTTCTAAAGACCGCTATTGTTTTTGTTAAGGATCGGTTAATATGTAGGGGATGAAATGTAGCAAAAACTTCATTTTTGTATTTTTTTCTGGTCGCTCTGGAGGCCAAAATTATGAACGAACACCACAGAGAAATAAGTCGGAATGACCAATTTAAAAAAAAAAACATATATATATATATATATATATATATATATATTGGCAATTTTGCCAAATTTTTAATATAGCTGAAGCCGAGGTTCACCGCTTTTTAAGCCAGGAGTTATTAAATTATATGAGAAAAATTTAACAGTTTCGGATTTATTGATCTGTCATTGCAAACTTTTCATGATATTGGGTCTACGTTATTGTAAAACCAGTAAAGAAAGTTCAAAAGTCGGAGGGGCCCTCTCTTCACCACTTTCGGCACCACAAGAGATGCTAATATATACAATATACTGTATGTATGAGAGGTATACTTAAATCTAAACCGATTTTCGCCACTTTAATGCACTCATTCAAAACTCACCTCTTCTAAATTTCTGTACAATATGCAAAATGTTGTCTCAATCCGACTAATATTGGGAGATAGTTTCACAATTTACAAAAAATCGGACGAAACAATGAATGGGAGCTATATATTTTAATCTGAATCGATTTACACAAAACTTCACATACATTAATAGGGACCTATTTTAGTACAAAACTATATATGGGAGCTATATCAAAATCTGAACCGTTTTCACAGAACTTCGCATTCATTAATAGGGACCTATTTTAGTACGCTGTGCAAAATTTTGTCTCAAGCGGAAAACAATTTGGAAGTTTTGTGCACCATTTACCTAAAATCGGACGAAACTATATATGCGAGCTATATCTAAATCTGAACCGATTTCAACAAAACTTCACATACATTAAACTTGACCTAATACAGTACGCTGTGCGAAATGTTGTTTTAAAGTTTGGAAGTTTGGTGCGCCATTTACCTAAAATCGGACGAAACTAAACTATGGAAGCTAAAATCTAAATCTGAGCCGATTTTTTATAACCTTCACCACAATGTGCAAAGAATCACTTTTTAAGTGGATTTAGGCAAGTCCGTCCGTCCGTCCGTCTTGTGAACAAAGCACAGGTCGCATTTATAATCCGAATTGGATGAAATTTGGTAAAGGTCTCTTATTTGGCATAATGACGAACCCTATTGAAATTGGAAAAAAGCGGTCCGGATTTAGATATAGCTCCCATATATATTTCCATCCGATTTAATAAAAATGGTGTACCAAAGTCTCTATATATCATCCGATTTGCACGAAATTTGGAACAGCGTACTGAATTCGGTCTAGAATGACGTGTGTTAAGTTTCATGAAAATCGGTCCAGATTCAAATATAGCTCCCATATATATATATATATAGTCCTCCGATTTAATGTAAATGGTGTACCAAAGTCCCAATTTATCATTTGATTTGCACAAAATTTGGCACAGCATACTGAATTGAGTCTTGAATGATGTATGTTAAGTTTCCTGAAAATCGGTCCAGATTTAGATATAGATCCAATATATTCGTCCGATTTAATGGAAATGGTGTACCAAAGTCCCTATTTGTCTTTCGATTTGCACGAAATTTGGAATAGCATAATGAATTAGGTCTAGAATAATGTGTGTTAAGTTTCCTGAAAATCGGTCCAGATGTAGATATAGCTCCCATATACACATTTTCGTCTGATTTAATTTAAATGGTGCACCAAAGTCCCTACATATCTTCCGATTTACACGAAATTTGGTATAGCTCAACGAATTAGGTCTAGAATGATGTGTGTTAAGTTTTCTGAAAAGCGGTCAAGATTTAGATATATCTCCCATATATATTTTCTTCCGATTTTATGTAAATTGCGCACTTGTGTGTCCGATTGCCACACAATTTTGTACAATGAACTGTAGTTAATCTCTGCCAAGTCTCATTGAAATCGGTTCAGATTTTGATATAACTTCTACATATATATTTTCTTCAGATTTAACGCCAAATTGATACAAAGTTTGCACAACGTACTGAAGTTAGTAAAACCTAGAGGTAGGTTATAAATAACAACAAAATATTGCACTACGTACTCAAATTACTATAACATAAGAAGCAACCCTATATCTGACCAAATTAAAAATTTAGTATAGGTGGCAGAATGACATGTTTTTGGATCCATTTTTATGTTAATGGTCCTTCAAAAATTCGACGTCTGTTAGGATTCATCTGTTGAATATGCCAAAGTGATGAAGGGTATCATATAGTCGGCCCCGTCCGACTTTTCTACTTTCCTTACTGGTATCAATTTTTTAACATGCATAAATCGACTTAGAAAGTGATTCTATGCATATTCTCAATAGGAACCATATGTCTATGTACAAAGACATAATACTCTGTACCACAGTGTGGTGAAGGGTATAAAAATCAATAAAATAACAGTGTATATATATAGTCGAATTCGGGTAAGCGAACGCCGGTTTATCGAAAAAATCGGTTAATTGAAACAAAAAATTTTAAACTAATATTTCGGATGAATTTTCAAACACTTAGCTTCGCTTAAAAGAAAACCCGGTTAATTGAAAATCTGTATAAGAGAAAGACTTTTTTGTTGAAAAATCACAAATCTATATGAAACGAGCACCGTTTAAGAGAAAAAATATCATTTTTTAAGGGCGACGAAATTCATTAAAATTTCTATGTGCAGCCCTAAAATTATATTGCACATTTTTCCAACCACCCAAGCTAATGTCTACGAAAAAATAAGGTCTTACTCAAATCATTTTATAATATGATTTATACATTTCACGATTTTTCAGATATTGATTGAAAACTTCGTTTAAGCTCAACGACTTTCGCTTATCCGGAGTTCTCTTAATTGAAAATCCTGCTTAAGAGAAATTATTTTTTCTGAAATTAGCCGTTTTCGCTTAACCGAATTCGACTGTAGTGGCATAAATATATTTATAATTAATGCCACCAGAATTAATAATAGTTTAAATCGAATCATGTTCGCTCCGTAGAATTAATAACAATATACTGTCGAATAAAATTGCTGTGACACTGACTTTTGAATAATTAACATAGATTAAACTTTATATTAATTTCTTTCTGTTAATGATTATTTTTGATATATTTAATTTGATTTTTTATGAAATTAAAAAAAATAAAATAAAAAATGCATTTTAGCAAATATTCTTTAATTGATTTTTTATATTTATTTATTTATTTTAAATAAAATAATTTTATTTGCCTTTTGATTTTTTCGTTTCAATCACTTCAATCGTATAGACCACTCGACCAATATAGTCCATGGGATATCCTTCATAGAATTTGAATACAATTTTATAAGATGTATGAAAAAAATTTGATACTAATCTAGCAATTACATCGTGACTTTCATCAACATAGACATTATCCATAATAAGGTAGCCCTGTAATAAAAACAAAATATATATAAATAAAAAATAAAAATTCGGACATAAATATTCTAGTCTTACCCTATATGGACACGAATGATTCACATTGGAATATTGACTTAGAAATTTCATAAAAATATTCATATAGAAATTGGATTTCCTTTTATCAAGGAATTCGCATACATTTTGGGTCACATTCACTAAATACGGTCTATACACTTTAACGTCATTGCGATTGTACAAAACGATATTTACCTGGAAGAGAAAAAAATCAATGTACAACAAAAAAAATCAATGTACAACAAAAGAAAATCAATTTACAACAATAACAAACAAATCGTGCTAGTGCGGTAATGCAATCTTTGAACCTGAAATAACTGAATTAAGGGGACCCCCCATTCTCGTTGTAATTTTTTTTTTATTTAATTCGAATCTACTCTAATTCTAGAATGTCGCTACAAAATTTCAAGTAAAAATCTCATGAACTCTTGAAGATATAGCCGATTTATTGTGCCAGCATCAAGTGACGGCAACAGTGATTCTCAAACTTTAAACGCATTTTTCTCGAAACAGTGTTTTACGAATGGCGGGCACGATAACTCAAAAACTAATAATCCAATCGGTTCCAAATTTTGACACGTTTCTCTGGTAGTGTATAGCTCTCGTGTGAACTAGGATAAAGCCAATGGGTGAAGAACTTCCTTATTATACCCTACACAACTATGTTGTCAGGGTATTATAGCTTTGTGCAGCACCCAAGGACGACGCCTATAATTTTCGGTGACGATCAGATAATAATTTTGGGATGAAGTGGACCGAAAATTAAACGATTTTGGATTTTTTCGAACATTACAACACAACCCAGGTTGATGAGAATATAGACAAGTAATTAGAAGGACTGTATTGAATATTAGTATCACGAAATGTTGCCTAGGCTCGGAATAAAAATCCGCAGAATGTTAGAGTTGTGTAGGGTATCGTATGGTCGGCCCCGTCCGGCTATACTGCTCCGCTCACTGGTTTTTTAACTTAGTTTGTGGTCAAAAATAGGCGGTTTTCCAAACTTTTTTCAAAGTTCCGCCATTTTGTTAATTGTTGTGCGAAGTCAATAATCCTAGTTCATACAAGAGCGATACATGTTCTCTTTCTAACACCGTTGGAATTTTCGGATTCCGATGTTGCAGTGAGGAGTTATCATTCCCGCCATCAAAAATAAGGACTTTTCTTTGATCACAAAAAACAACAACAAAAATTTTTTGTAAATTATTTTTCTAACTTTTGAAATCTTTAAATATATATGTGCAAAGTTACAAAACTTAATAATCATTGGTATTCATTTACCAGCCCATTTAAAATCTTAAAAATAAAAAAAAAGAATTGAGAAGGGGGGTTCCCTTAAATGGAATAACTCAGCCTAGATCATTTAAAACATAGAAGACAGAAATTCGAAGGACCGGTGCTACGCCTTTTTAAACTCTCTACGCCTTTTAAAACACCAGAAGGGGTTTTATCCTATTTACAGCCAATTCGGTTGAACAATTTAGCTAGGACCTTTCAAAATACAGCACATTAAATATATTGAACGAGTAAGGAAAGTTCAAAAGTCGGACCGACTATATGATAACCTTCACCATATCCTGTAGACAGAATAGGCATAGCATCTTTGGGAGCCATTGAAAAGGAATCGGACGAAATTAGCTGTGTGAAATACACATACCAATTTGAAATTTATGAAAAATTGCATTCAATCATTTTTATGAAATCGAGCAAAATATGTTTGGTGCTATATATAAATGGACGTTATGAAGCAATCGTATTCTGCAGCACAGTGCCCTATCCAAAATGTGTCTCGACACAAAATTTTTACATAATTTTGATGAAATCTGATGAATATTCATATGGAAGCTACATCTAAACCTGAAAAGTCTACAATCCAATACGCTACGCAATATTTCATGTAAGGCTAACAGACATAAGTTCTTTCATTTGTACCATTTTCATAAAATCGGACAAAAATATATGTGGGAGCTATAACTACATCTAAACCGATTTCAACAACAAAATATCGTGCAAATAGAACAGAATCTATAGTGCACCATTTGCATAAAATGGGACTAAATATATATTGAACCCTGAACTCATTTCAACAAAACTTCAGGGATGGCAACTTGTAGTAACTTCAATACTCTATGCGTAATTTTGTCTCAATCGGACATATATTGGTAGTATGGTGCATCAAATCGAACGAAACTGTATATGTGAGCTATATTTACATCTGAACCTATTCCCACAAAGCTTCGCATATATTAATCTGGACATAATTCAGTACACTGTGCAACATTTTATTTCAATCGAACCAATATTGGCAGAATGGTGCTCCATTTACATAAAATCGGACGAAACTATGTATGGGAGATATATCTAAATCTGAACTTTTTTCAACAAAACTTCGCATACATATATCAGTACCTAATTCAGTACAGTGTGCTAAATGTTGTCTAAATCGGTCCAATATTGTACCATTTACAGAACATCGGACGAAATTATATATCGAAGCTATATCTAAATCTGAACCGATTTACTCCAATTTTAATGGGGTTCGTCTTTGTGACCTGTGCCAAATTTCATCCAAATCGGATCATACATGCGATCTGTACTTTGCTCACCAAAATACGTGGACAGACAGACGCACGGCTGCACATTCATAAATCGACTCAGAAAGTGATTCTATGCATATTCTCAAAAGGACCCATATGTATATCTCGTTTCCTCTCGCCTCTTACAAACATTTGCACAAAAACATAATACCACAGTTTGGTGAAGGGTATAAAAATTCCAATAAATTTTGATTAACCCACCAAATCTGTAAAATCTTTGTCATTTCAGTGGGAAAGACAAAAGGTAATTAACCCTCAACATACGGTTGAGTAACCTTCAGCATACCTACATTGATGATTTACTTGGAAGAAGTGTTTAATTTGTCAGGAATGCCTAATGAAAGCCACAAATAAAACGTAGTTAAATTCGGCTGGAACCTAATTTTTTACCCTCCCTACGTGAAAATTTCGTTAAAAAATTAATAATGCACAAAATTGGCCGTACCTTTACTATATGCTATATAAATTTTCCGGGCTGCCAAATTCAGACTACCACAATGAGAAAATGCGGGTGAAAGCTTCAAAATATTGAAAATGAGGCGGCATCCCTATTTGGAGGTATGTTAGCCTTTATGAATCATGTAAGCCTTAGAGGTTGGAAAATGCAGCTAAAGCCTTCAAAATTTCGAAAATGGATAGGGACCCTCATAAAGGAGCTATACAAACACATAAGCACATGAAAACCAGAATGTTGAAATTAGAACTAATTTGCTTGAAAAAAGTTCCAAACCCCTTAAAACTTACGAATAATAGGGGTAACATTATATGTGGGCTACGCAGAAACTAGGCCCAATAAGGATAGTTTTTGGTAGAGATGTTTTCTACTCAACGACAATCCAAAATATAATATAACGGTCAATTTGGAAGAAAGACGTGTTCAAGGTCCCCTGAAATGCACCATAAAAGTCTCTTTAAATCCATACCCACTGCCACATTAACTTACGGATATATTTCGTAAGACATCCTTGATAAATGTTTTCATAAACGACACTGTTTTGTAACGATTAACAGCCTTCAGGCGACAACTACAATTATGAAAATATTTCGGACTGGGATCACATTCCAAATTTGTAAATTTTAAATGGACTTCACCGCGATAACTCTGAAAAAAATAAAAATAATTTATTTTATTTAAAATTTAAAAAAAAAATTAAAACATTTGAATATAATAACTACACACGTGTATATAGAGCCACATTAATAATAATAAAATATGCCAGAGACGCATTTGGTACAAAATAAATCACTAAACTATTCGATGAAATCAATTTCCATATTTTGTTTTAGGAAATGTTCATATTATTAAATAGACTAATTATCTGAGGCAATTTATGTTTTGTCGTGTCGAGTTATTAGAATGTAATTATTTTCGTATTTATTTGCCCTACACAGCAATAATGGGAGCGGATTTTCTCAATAACTTCATAACTACAAATTGGTTAATAATAGTACCTAACCACATACAAATCAATTAATTTCATAAAGATTTTGATTAAAATAACTTACAATTTACAATGTTATTACATTGTGTGAAACGAACCGAATAATATATCCGTTGTAGACCAATTTCCGTTCAGCTTAATTGTTTAAATCTATATATATAAAAGAGTTGCGTTATAAGTGACTGACTGATCATCAACGCCCAGACGAAACTGCTAAAGCTAGAAATTTGAAATTTGGCATGTAGGTAGGGTTTGGTGAGTAGGCGTGTGATAAGGCGGGGTTTTTGGAAATTCGTACTAAAAGGTACTAAAAAGTACTAAAAACTGTATTACACGGGAATGGTTAGATGTAGAACTTTGAAATTTGGCACGAAGCTTTGTCTATGACGAGCGGACTTGAATGTGTGAAATTAGTACTTAGATGTACTAAAAAGTACTAAATAATGTATTTAATGGAATTGGTGGAGATGCATATCAGAAACTTGATATGTGCTTTATGCAATTTCAAATAAAATGAGGTGCAATAATATTTTTTGGAAATTAGTACTAAAATGGTTCTAAAAAGTACTAAAACTGTATTACGCGGAAACGGTTACATGTAGAACTCTGTAATTTGGTATGCAGCTTTGCATAGGATAAGCGAAGTAATATGTGTGAAAAAAATTTTGAATTTAGTACTAAAAGGTACTAAATATTATATTTGTATGGAATTGTTATATATACATATTTGAAACTTGGTATGTAGCTTAAGCTAATACAAATATAATGATTAGCAAAAATATTTTTGAAAAACAATACTAAAATGGTACTAAAAAGTACTGAAACTGAAGGGTTGGAAGTAGAACTGTAAAATTTGGTACACAGCTTTGGTACACAGAATGTGTGAACAAATTTAGTAACTTAGTACTAAAAGTACTAAATATTATAGAACGATGGAAAAGGTAGGGATATATATCTGAAAAATGTATGTAACTTAAGCTATTACAAACAGAATGATGGGCCAACTTATTTTTGGAAATTAATACAAAAATGTACTAAAAAGTTGTAAATATTATATTGCAATATAACCGATAGAGATACAAATGTGAAACTTCGCATATGGATTATCTATTACAAATAGAATGCTATGCATTTCATTTTTTGAAAATAAGTAATAAAGTGGTGATAAAAAGTACCAAATAATAAAATACAGTGCAACAGGTAGAAATAAGAATCTGAAATTTAGTATGTAGATTACATTAAAACAGAATGTCACGCATAATTTTTTTGAAATTAGTACTAAAATTTACTAAATACTGTAGTATAATAGAAACGGAAGAAATGAAAATATGTAACGCGGTACGTAGATTTAACTATTATCAGTACTATGCTAGACAGTAATATACTTTTGAAATTAGTACTAAAATGGTACAAAATATAAAATTATAATGGAAAAGATAGAAATTGAAATCTGAAATGTAGTATTAGACTATAACTAATAGAGCGACATGCTCTATAAACAAATCTTTTTCGCCAAAAAGTTTGTAAATTTTACTCACGGTACTAGCAAATACTCAATACAAAAATAGGATCCTGTTATAAATAAAATACTTAACTCTGACAATTATGACAATAATCATTTATACATATATATATATATATATATTTTCAAGAATTAAGTTCTAAAATATACTAAAAAGTACAAAACATTACGGGTGGATATAGAATTTGGTGTAAGGTTTTTTCTATGAAAAAATGCTTTTCGCATTTTTGTTGGACATTTGCGCTGTACTAAATATTGTAAACGACAGAACGACTAGAGGTAGAGTCCTCAAATTTTTTATGTTTTTTTTTCGAAAATTTGTATTAGAAAGTACAACTTTGAACTTTGGTTTAAACTTCCGATATAGTGAAAAATGGACGAGACTTCATACACAAATAAGTGAATACTAAATTGTTGGCATTTTTAAATGCAAATGTTACTAAAATTTCTGTCGTAACAGTACTGATATTTATTTCCAATGATGTTTTAAACCATACTTTTGTAACACGTAAATAAATTTCTAAATTTCTGCAATTTTAATGGAAATCTTCCCTATAAAGGCAGGTCTCTGTATAATAAATGATCCGCTGTGCAAAATATTATATTATAAATTCGTATTATAAGGGTACACAATTACTAAAACGTACTACATAATTTACCATTAGCATGAAATTACCTAAATGACCAAAAAAATTAAAAAACGAACTATGTGCATTGGTCCATCGGGAGGATAGAGAAAGTAATAATAATAATCATATGTTGTACTCGATTTAGTAGAATAACGTATCAACGTATCTGTTCCAAAGAAATTCGGAGTAAAATCTGAGATTTTCTTGAAAAAAATAAGATATAGGACCTATCATTATTTGAAATAGTTCAAATTTATGGTAAATATTAAAATATAAAAAGTATATTGTGTAGCTTTTTTATTTTAACTACACAAAAATTCCGCTAACAACGTAGCGGGCCTATGCTTGTATTAATAATAAAACAATTATGAAACTGATGTGAATTTTTTTTATTCCCCCTAAAAATCTAAACCGATTTTTATCAAAATATCAGCTCGTCATTCTTGAATCAAATCCGGAGGCTAGACAAAATTTCATAACACCACCTTTTGGTCATATCGCGACTAGCTGTGTCGATCTAGACATGTATATCCGTCCATCATTCTGTCTGTCCATGTAGGGGATGAAATGTAGCAAAAACTTCATTTTTGTGTATTTTTTTCTGGTCGCTCTGGAGGCCAAAATTATGACCGAACACCACAGAGAAATAAATCGGAATGGCCAAATTAAAAAAACCAGTAAGGAAAGTAGCAAAGTCGGGTGGGGCCGACTATATGATACCCTTCACCACTTTGGGTATATTCAACAGATGAATGCTAACAGACGTCGAATTCTGCACCCTATACTAAATTTTTCATTTGTTCAGATTGCATCAGGGTTGCTTCTTACAATGGGACAAAATTACCTAAAATCGGGAGAAAATATATATAGAAGCTCTCTCCAAATCTGAACCGATTTCAAAACATTCCACATTTCAAAACTTTAGTACGCTATGCAAAATTTGTGTCAATTTTGTGTAAAATCGGACGAAAATATATATGTAGAAGCTATATCAAAATCTGAACCGATTTCAATAAGAATGACAGAGGTTAACTTATATTAACTACAGTTTATTGTACAAAATTGTGTAGATCGGACAAACTATGGGTCTTTAGTGCACAATTTACATAAAATCAGAAGAAAAAACAAATTTTTAGGAAACTTTACACACATCACTCCAGACCCATTTCAGTACACTATGCCAAATTGTATAGGGACTTTGGTAAACCATTTACTTTAATCGGACGAAAATTTATATAAGAGCCATATGTAAGTCCAACCCGATTTTCAGGAAACTTAACGTGCACTATTCTAGACTTAATTAAGTACGCTATGCCAAATTTCGTGCAAATCGAAAAATATGTAGGAACTTTGGTACACCATTTACCTTAAATCGGACGAAAATATATATGGAAGCTATATCTAAATCTGAACCGATTTTCAGGAAACTTAACACACATCATTTTAAACCTCATCCATTTCGCTATGCAAATCTCGTGCAAATCAAAAGATATATAGGGACTTTGGAACACCATTTACCTTAAATCGAACGAAGATATATATGGGAGCTAACACACATCATTCTAGACCTAATTCATTACGCTATACCAAATTTCATGCAAATCGAAAGATATATAGGGACTTTGGTACACCATTTACCTTAAAGCGAACGGAGATTTATATGGGAGCTATATGTAAATCTGAATCGGATTTTTCCCAATTTCAACAGGGTTCGTCCATGGGCCAATTAAGTGACCTGTGCCAAATTTCATCCAAATCGGATCATAAATGCGACCTGTACTTTATTAACAAAAATACATGGGCGGACGGACGGACGGACAGACGGACATGCATAAATCGATAAATATATATATATATGAGAAAAATTTAACAGTTTCGGATTGTCAGATCTGTCATTGTAAACTTTTCATGATATTGGGTCTACGTTAATGTAAAACCAGTAAAGAAAGTTCAAAAGTCGGAGGGGGCCCTCTCCTCACCACTTTGGGTATATACAAGAGATGCTAATATATACAATATCCTGTATGTATGAGAGGTATACCTAAATCTAAACCGATTTTTGCAGCTTTAATACACTCATTCAAATCTCACCTCTTCCAAATTTCTGTACAATATGCAAAATGTTGTCTCAATCCGACTTATATTGGGAGATAGTTTCACAATTTACATAAAATCGGACGAAACAATGAATGTGAGCTATATATTTTAATCTGAATCGATTTACACAAAACTTCACATACATTAATAGGGACCTATTTCAGGACACTGTGCAAAATTTTGTCTTATTTACCAAAAATCTGACGAAACTATATATGTGGGGTATATCTAAACCTGAACCGATTTCAACAAAACTTCATAAATATCAAAAAGGACCTAATTCAGTATGCATCTAAAACTGAACCGATTTCATCAAAACTTCACGTACAAACTGGACCTAATTTTGTACACTTTATAAAATTTTGTTCTAATCGGAAAAACATTGGAAGTTTGGTGTACTATTTACCTAAAA